TCTTTGTGTTGACCCCTCCTCCCACCCCACCAAAAATACCTACATATACAAATATTTAATGTGAAGCCAGAAATTAGTTTCTACATATTCCTTTGGGATTTGCCATGCTTATAATTTGTTTGGCACTGATAATTACATCTCACATTTTTCCAGCTTTACTTAAATCTGTGTACTGCTCACCCGTGCGTTTAATTATTGCTCTGTGACTGCTGCAAGGTTATTTATTAACGAGTTATTTTATCTTGATACAGTGGATCTTTTCTCTTATTCCCCTCCTTAATGTTGTGTTATTTTCATCAAAGAAATTTCAGAGAGTGAATGCAAATCGCATAGCTCCACAATCTTGCTCTCCCTTACTTTGCTATTAGTATGTCAGTATGCTGAATGCTGATGTATCTCCAGTGCTGCACCACTGTAATGATATATCCTCTTTTATATGTGGTTGTCAGCGCAAATAATTAGACCTAAAAGTTATAGCTGAAATATAATCCAAAAATGGCAAGGCCCTGTTTTGGAAATTGTCTATAAAATGTCAGCACTCAAGGATGCATTGGGAGCATAAATAGTACAGCATTGTTTGAGCCCAAGATTAGACTGTAAATGCATTTTTTCTGGTTCCAATTTTTCCTCTCCTGCTGTTGATGCTGTCAATAGATTGTGAGACTCCAGCAACTGCCTTTCCATTTGAAGTCCTTCCTTAAAATGATAGCACTAGGGAGAGATGAAACGTGTCTACAGATGAGTAAACCATGCAGACTGATGATCATGTTTGAGGATATCTCCTACATTCACTGCTTCCTGACTCTGCGGAGGTGGTTCCTGAGGAAGGCAGGAGTTTTGGGCAGGGTAGCAGTGTGGTGAGGGTGAGAGCACACCCTGTGCACCAAGGATCCTCCAGCTTGCCTGGCTGGAGTAAAGAAATTGGGCAGTGTCACCTTCTCAAAGAAGAGCAAAGGGGAGAGGATGTCAGGACAGTGGTGCAGGACCAGAGCAGCTGGGATTGCCCCAGAGAGGAGCAGAGAAGTGTGCAGAGCATGGGCACAACTCTCCATCGCCATGGGGTGGCACCCAGCGAGCCTGCAATAGGGGTGCCAGCTGGGCACAGTGACAAGGAAACCCAGAAGCAAGAGCAGGCAAGTAGAGGTCCCTGCATCTCTGCAAGCTGGAGGGAGGGGTATTAGCATTGTCATTGCTCAGCTGTGCTGTGGACGAGACAGTCAGCAGGGAAAGCAGTTTGGTTTCCCCTTCCCTGGCAGCACCACACGGTTCTGGAAGTTTGGGCAGTCCTCCTGGCGCTGTTGTGTTTCTAGCAGAGCCTTGCTGTGTGCCAGCAGTGTCTCAGCGTGCAAGACGGGCTAACAGCACTGCCCTGTGAGCCCTGAGCACTCACAACCAGAGCTCAGAACCTACAACTCTTGCAGACAGCAGCAGGGAGGGGGGGTCCCTGGTTCTCTGAGGGGGTAACATCACCCTCAGAGGGAACCTGAGATGTGAGGAAACAGCCACTCCTGTGGCGAAAGGAGCCGGCCAATCGATTCATGCTCTTTGGTCTCAAGGCAAGGAATGTGCATGTTAATGCATGCTGAATTATTAACATTTCTCAATCTCAACCTTTGTGGCTGTTGTGTTGCCTGCTTCCCTCCCTCTTCCCCACGGTCGCCCCAGTGAACAGGGAGCTGGTCTCCACGCTGTCCCTTCTCCCTGTCCTGTGGGATCCAGGGCACAGGCTCCGGTTGCGCTGCACTGCTCACCACTCTGGGGTTTCACTTCACTTCCCAGGGAACGCTACAGGGAGGCGTGCTGAATAGTGGAGCAGCACAGAGCCCTTACAATGCCTATTCTTGGGATGAATGACAATGAATCTCATTTTTGACAGTCTGCTGGTTTAACTAAACTTCTGAATTATACTATTGTCCATTGAAATAATTTTAATATTCACAGCAATTTTCCCTTTGCTGTTCTTGCAAAACCTCCAAACCACGTTCTCTGATCTTTATCCAAAAAGAAGATTAAAAAAAAAAATACTGAAAATTCCTGTCAAGAAAATTGTAATAAAAAGGGAAATTTCACTGCTGTAATAAATGAAGAACAACAAAAATTTCTGAAGCACTTAAAGTAGCATCATGGGCTGTGCTAGGCTGTGTGATTTGACTTGTAAATTGGACAGAAATTCTAAGAATGCTGCTTTTTGAGGAGTTACACTGATTTAAATTATTACCAGACTCTTATGCTAGAAAAGCAAGTGACTTAAATCTCTGGCTTGAGCCTGAGGATGTGTTGATGGTGCTCTGCAAGCTGCTGTTAGAGCTCTGCCAGCTCTCACTAATGCTAACTGACAGCATCTCCCCTTCTCCCTCTGTACTGACTGGGACGAGAAGCTGCCAGTTATCCCCCAGGAGGATGGGAGGCTGATGGAGCCTGTCCCTTCCTTTGCACATGCTCCGCCAGAGCATCGTCCAGGCCAGATCTCTCACTGAAGGCGCTGCCCTGACCCCCTCCCACCTCTCGTGTTGAGAGCTGACCCCTACGCGTGGCATCCATTTTTAGCAGCTTGGGCACTGCTGCTCTCAGCTCGAGCAACGAGCCCATCTTAGCAGCTCTGCCGGTGTGCTAACAAGAGGAGGCCAGCTCAGCCATTTTGGGTCGCAAAAATACACTGCGGAGGCCTGCTTAACTGCTCATCTGTTGCCAGGCTTGAGAGCTGAGGCCCCGCACAGCTTCCTGGCGTGCAGCAGGCTGTGGTGTGCCGGAGGCACGGCAGTGTCGAGGTCAGTGATGCTGCAGCCTGCCCACCCTCTCCTACGGCTTGATCTGCAGGAGAGTTTTCCTTGCCATTCATGCCTTCCCTCGGCACACAGGCATGCCAGCTGCCTCCACTGCTCACCTGTGGGTAGGACACGGGAGAGCCACTTCTGAAGGGGCTCAGCCCTTCTCTTGGCCCTGCAAAGCACTGCCGAGAGCCCCTGGCCCCTTTGGAAGCGCGTCTCCCCGGTGCTGGCGACAGGGGAGCGGGGGGTGGTTGGCTGCTGCCTTCCCCAGGCAGAGATGGCTGCAGCACCCACAGGCACTGCCTCTGGAGGACACGTCAAGGGGACACAGCACTGACAGGGCTCGGCACAGCCCCGGGGACACCCTGAGAGCAGTCCCTGAGACGGGGGCACAGTGCAGGGGAGTCTCCAGCGGGCTGTGCTGCCTCCGGTCTCACAGGGCTGGGAGTCAAAATCCTTTTGTGCATGCTGGGCTCTAACCTTCCTGCACGGCCTCCTGTCCTCCAGTCTCGTCTTCCCACGTTCCTGTACGTGAGTTCCTGTGCACCTTCCCTCTCCCTGTCCTGCCCTTGCATCGCTTTCTCTCTGACCCATAGTGGCCTCCTGCGCCCGCCAACCTGTTTGCCTGGTGCATGTGCACGAGTGCTCTGTGCACACCTATGGCTTTGTCCTCGAAGTCTGCTCTTTTTTACTTTAATACAGTGTGAGTGGATGGGTTTGGTCCTTGGATGGGGATGGAATTTGAACAGCTTCTACCTGAAATAATTCGATGCCGTGTTCATTGGAAAACAAAACCTGACTCTGAACAAATGGTGCTGGGATGTTTTGGTTGGAAATACACGCCATCATGTTAAACCATTGCCATGTCCATCAGGTTAACTCCGTATTCTCATGACTGCATAGCACTTGAGTACCCTTTCAGTTCTGTCTCATTTGGGGAGCGCTGCCCCGTCAGTCAGGTAACGCCTCACTGGCGATTGCTCATGTAGCTATTGATTTGAGATTTAATAATTGATTAAAAGAAACAACCAGCATGACTTTGGATTTAGACATTCAAAGAAAAAAAAAAAAAAGCAGCAAGATATCCTTCCCCTGGCGGGTAAGGAGCTAATGAGCCCTGTTTTGTCACCGAGACACTGTGTAGTACACACACGATGTTGACAGTATTGTCTAATTTATCACGAAGTCGTAGCTCTGTTGTACATGCTAGCGTGGGGGCTTCCACGTTCAGTCTATTTCTGTTGGTTAGGGGATGAATCATCAAAGAGAGCACTAGTGAAATTTGACTTCGGGGGAGTCAGCTCTGCAGCTTGCCGGGATGTCAGCAGCTTTACCGTCTGCAGAGATGCTGTGGTGGCAGGAGCCAGGCCAGCAGAGCCGTGTCCCCCTGGAACTCCAGTGCCGTGGGACTGGTCGTGCCTGTGACATGTTGTGAGCTGGCACCGCTCAGGCTCCTGCCCGATTTCCACCTGCCCCCAGCGCTGTGGCTGTTCACTGCTCCGCCAGCCCGGTGCACTGATGGAGGAGCGTAGCTGGCAGGGAGAGGCTCCTTGGCAGACGGTCAGTTGTGAACCCGGCCGATGCTCTGGGGCAGCCTTTCTACCCAAGGAGGCTAGAGGAGAGCAGGGCTGCTGGGCGAGACACATTCGAGCAGTTTCCCTTTTTAACTATAGACTAAAATGAGCTTGCCCAGAGGAGACAGAGATTTACCGAGCACAGTTGTTTCTCTACCCTTGCTTAAATAGGCCTATAACACTAACCCTGAAAAAGGGGCCTCATTTCTCAGTGTCATTTTCCTGACGGGAATGCATATGGCAGGCAGCTTTAGAGCTTTATTGTAGCTGAGAGTTGCTTACAAATAAGTCTTGAATGAAATACCCGGCAAGGGATTGATATGAAGAGAAGCTGTGCAATGAAATAAGGAGGAATACATCTCCCAAAGTGCTGCCACAAAGGTGGGGAGGGTTCTGGCAGCCCAGCTCTCTTCTGTCAAAATGGATATGATCTCACATCTGTCAGGATTAGTTCTCTCCTGCCCAGCAAGGTGATCTCTTCAGGCCCTGACAATGTCATGCAGCTCAGCTCAGGTGACTACTTTTTCTGAGCCAAGGTAGAACCTGAGTTACATTTTGAAAGGAATTATATTTTATTTAGCAGCACACGTGCTAATTCAGAAAGAAACCCTTCTGCTGCTCCTGCCCAAACCCTGTGAGGTTTAGGGAATGGGTTGCTTTACTCTAGAGCTAATAAATTGAGCGGGTAATTCCGTTTTGCAGAGCTTTAGTGGGCCCTACACAGAGAGAGTGTGTGACTGGCATTTGTGCATCCTCTCTAATTAGAGAGATGTAATTTAAATGGAGGAATGTTTCATGTTAGTAATATGATTTCAAAAGGCTGTGTTTGGAGGGAATGGATTGAGCCATCCCCTAATGAGTTCTTCTAATAAGATGCCAGTGGCTGAGGAAGGAGAGCAAAGTATGTGCAATTTGGCAAAGGAGTGAACAGCTTTTACACTTCATTTTATCTGTCCCGAGGGATAGACAGGCAAAAACATTGAACGCCCCTCACGTACCCCGGCAATGCAACTGAGTGCGCTCTGCTGGTTCTGTGACCCTACTAGCTGTCTCCTCCTTGTTGCAGTGCGGCGTGTTGCTCCTCGATTCTCTATCCCTCCAAGCAACCACGAGGTGATGCCTGGGGGGAGCGTGAACCTCACATGCGTGGCAGTAGGTGCTCCGATGCCCTACGTGAAGTGGATGGCTGGTGTGGAGGAACTGACCAAAGAGGATGAGATGCCCGTCGGTAGGAACGTCCTGGAGCTGAATAACATCATGCAGTCTGCCAACTACACCTGTGTGGCCATCTCCTCCCTCGGCATGATTGAAGCCACAGCCCAGATCACTGTCAAAGGTAAGGAATAATTCCCAATGGTGCTCCTACTTGGGTTTCAGCAGTGTGGTCCTTTGCCAAAGTGTTTTTGGGTGCAGCTGACTGCAGTCTCTTGTGACTTTTCCACCTTGCAAGGGAGTTTCCCAAACGCACAACTTTTTTGTTTTTCTGCTCACAGTATGGTATTTGCTTTGGAGGTCATTTCCTATCTCCCTACAAGTGACATGATGGGAGACAGGCTTGTGTTAGGCTGGGTCTCTGTTATGCCACAAGGGAACCTCATTGAGTCTGTGCTCATCCCAGCAATTTCTGGCTTGTTCCATGCATCAGCAGGATCAGCTCAGCACAGCGACAGGTGACAGGCTGTCCTGGGGCAGGGGTCTGTGGATATCTGTAGTCAGAGAGCTGTTTGCACAGAGATGTCCTCTTGCAGTAAGGGCAGGACAAGAAGGTTGATCTCAGCAATGTGAAATGTCTGTGGGCCTCACCAGAATGAGCATCCTCCCCCTCTGCAGGGAAGAGCTATACATGTTCATTTTAAAATTGTTGCATATTCCTCTGTCAATTTTCTTTTTTTCCCTTACTGCTCTGCCTCTTTCCC